CCCACCCCCACAACAACAGCGACAACCAAAAAGAACAAAGCTACTTCATAACATTTTAGACATGTATTTTGATAAGTTTTAAGGTGTCCATGTGTTGCTATATTATGCGGAGAATATAAGTACATTACATACTATTTATGTTGAGATTATATAGAGAGATTGTTTTTGGGGTGTTAAGGTATGGGCGGATTGTCGTTCGATCATCCCTTCTGTGTATGTTCAGTCATAGTCTATGTGCTCAAGAATTGTAACAAATAACAGAAGGAAAGCAAAAACAACAGCAGTAAATCTTTAGCTTTTAATGGGGGAGGGGGGCGCTGCACCTGAAGACTATCTTGCTTATTAGTGGACCAAATTTTAACAAAATTCACTCATATAACAAGCATAGTAATTAGACGTCTTAAAATCCACAATCAAATTTGAGAAAAACGTTTCGTTTCCATGGATACGGCGACCATATTAGATTTTTTTTGACATGACCTATGTAGTGGAGACCGCTCTTATTTTTCTTGGAAATTGATTGGGGGGTTTTTTGGTGTTGTTTTTTTTTTTGCACGCACGTTAGCAAACCTTAGATCTAAATATGTGTCTATTGTTTTTTTCTTTTATTAATTAGAACATGTTTTATGATTTTTGTCCTGAGGTAGTATTCAAGTTTGCACACGCAAAAAAACAACAACCAACAACGTGAAAATCCACACTCCAGACACCAACAACAAAAATCTATTCCATATATCGAAAATTCAGCAAACAACGTTTTAGTATTACATCTTCTCTTCATTCTGTGAAAATGTCACGAAGATTGGATGAAAAATGGTGGAGTTATTCAAAAAAGTATAGAACAAAATCGCGTTTTGAGAAAATGGCCGATAAAGAAAAATAAAATGTTAACTTTTGTGAGGAAATGATGGTGACAAACAAGCCCGGTATGGGATAAAATAAGGCTTTTGGTGGTTCTTATGCGGTGAAATAGTTGTAGGCTGAGGAAGCTAAAAATGCCTACAACTCAAATTCCATAATTTTTTTTTTTGGAGCCGAATCGGGAAACTGGAGTTGTACCCCCACCCCCAATAGATTGGTACGTGTCGTGGTATTTTTTGTATGGTTTACATGCACTGCTGTGTCCGGTTAATTTTGGCATCTTTTAATTTTAAGACAGAGAACTTGAGTCTTTGTTCTATCAATAATTTATACGAGTTTATTTTACGAGAGGAATATGCTCGTGAATGGATGAAAATTTTGATTTAAAAAATTTTTGTAATTTTTTTTTTCGGGGGGAGCCTTGTTTAAACTTCTCTTCTCAGCATTTTCTCCCTCTTTTACATTTATTAGTGCACGATATTTAGAGGTCTTTCTGTCTCCCTGGGCTTTCCGTGTACTTGCCCGCAAAAAAGAGACCTGTCAATATCGTTAGGCTGGTTGTGTGACGCTTCTTCTCGGTTAAGCCGAATAAGACGTACGGCTTTTCAGTTCGCTCTTCATGCGCAAATTATGCGACACTCCGACCTCCGCGGTTGATTCGACCTTGTGCGAGATTCCTTTTTACATTCTGCCTAGAGTACAGGCGATGGAACAGGCATGAAATGTGTTTCAAAATAACGTTGTTTTGGCTCTGATGATAGAGCCACTGTGACGCTTCTCCTTTTAGACTGAATGTGGAAAACGGAGGTGAAGGTAAACGCCAAACAGAAACGGCAATTAGAGGTAGGAAATGTGTGTATCGGATTTCTATTGCAATAGTAGGTTAAGGCACACACGGTTTTATCCTTTAGTTTTAATTAGAGTTTTACGCCCGGCAATTGCAACACACTAAGGTCTATGAGTGCCGAAAACTAGAGGTGTTTCAAGCAGGGGCGAAGCGTCTATATAATCAAATAATCACTGCTTCCCTTCCTAATTTTGAAACATTGTCGCTGTCAAATTCATCCATA